AACATTTATATTAAATGTTTTTATTTTAAATATTATTTATTAATTTTCATTAATATTAATATTGATTATTTGGTAATTAAATATATTGAACAAACTCATTAATAGTAAATTGGTCATTTTAACGGTTATATATGTATCTTGTTTTATCAAACGTTGAATAATTGCTTTATCATGTATTATTCTATGCTGTCTTTTTCTTATATGTAAATTGATGTATTTTCTAATTTTTTTAAAGAAAAAAAATGTTAATTATAATAATAGGATTAAATTTATTTATAACCATAAAACCCTTGAAACACGTGAGGTGCACGTGACCCAATTGTGTCTTAACTTAAGCTCTAACTCTTGTGTAGTAGTGTTACCGTCTACCTATACGTACATATATCTGTATGTATATCCGTGTGTGTGTTTAGTGTGTGTAGAGTGCAACAGTGCATAGGACCTTTCTCTCTCATTTGACACCTTCTACCACGATATAGCCGTGAGATGGCTGAAAAAAGTGAAAGGTGAAACCCCACCGCCACCGGAAAACAACCGCCCGCCACTTGAAGATTCAAGAACTTCTGCAATCGTCGTTTCAATCGGAAAAATACAACCTTTGTACACGCGCCCACCGACAGATAAATCTCAAAGGGTTTATTTTTGGTGCTAAATCAAGCCGGCGAATTGTAAATTTACATTTCTACCCCTCCGGAACCCTCCAAGAACCACCGTACGTGGTGGGGCCCATATCCCCCCACCACCACCTCCTCGACGGGCCCCACTTCCTCCAAATTACAACTCATACTCTACTTTCTCTCACTAAAATCATCAAAAAAAACCTCACAGAGATCCATCAAACCGATCTGTGTCTGTGACCCTTCTGTGTTACGCGTTGAACTTTCAACGCCTCCCTCTCTCTCTCTCTAAAAAAATTAACACAGGTTATCTTTGTGGATCTCTTCTTCTACCCCTATTAACCCCTTTCTCTCTGATCCACAAACCCGAAACACTACAGCTCAACAAACCCCCAACTGAGTTTTTTTTCCCTCTATCAAGAAAGGAATCAATCAAAACTACCCCTTGATTATTTTATCATATCTTTGATTTTTATCTTTTTAACATATTATATTGCAAATTATAGACGTATTTGCTGTTTACATTTCATTTTCAGTCGTATTATAATGTGGGTTTGGTTCTGTCTCTGATGGGTGCTTTAAGGAAGTGAGTTATATAGAATAGAGCAAGAGATTTAGAGAGAGAGAGAGAGAGAGAGAGAGAGAGAGTTGGATAGAGAGGAAAGGTCTCTACTTTCTTAATGGGTTTGTCCAAGAGATTTGCGGTGTGAAGTGGGTTCCTCTCGGATTTCTAAGTCTTTCGGTGTTTATGTGCTAAGTTTGTGCTTGTGTTTGGAGAATCAATGGATACTAAAGGACGGCTTGTTGCGGGTTCACACAATAGGAATGAATTTGTCTTAATCAATGCGGATGAAGTTGGAAGAGTATGTTAGAATTCCCAATCTAAATCTTTCAATATCTGAACTGCTAGTTCCATTTATGGCTCAAATGTTGCAAAATCTGCAGTTGTTGAACTAAATTTATGCATTTCAAGTGCTTAATTTTCTGTTTTTCTAGTCAATTTTTTCGTTTGAAGCATATTTTCTGTAGTTATTCGTGTCGGTGGCTTGAATAGTGTTAAAAGAATTGCCTTTTTGGATAAGAGACACTGTTCATAAGTTGGATTTGGGTTTTGTGCCACACGATTCATCTAGATTTCAAAGATTATCACTTTTAACTTGCACGCTAGCTGTTCTTGGGCCAGAGTTTGCTTTGAAGAATAGATATTGCTTTTCATTTGTATTAAGATTAGATAGGTAAATTTCAGATCCCATGGCTTCGAATCTTGGATAGTTTTTGGGATCTGAATGCCTCAGTTGACTTTAGATGCAAATCTATTGATGGGTGTTTGGTTTTTTGATCCAAAAATAAATTTTGGTTTCTTTTAACAGGTGACTTCTGTGAAAGAATTGAGTGGTCAGATTTGCCAGATTTGTGGAGATGAGATTGAAATAACAGTTGATGGTGAGCCATTTGTTGCTTGCAATGAATGTGCTTTCCCGATTTGCAGACCTTGCTATGAATACGAAAGAAGAGAGGGAAACCAAGCTTGCCCTCAATGCAAAACCAGATACAAACGGATTAAAGGTAACTATAATGGTCAATTCTCAATCCTATTATCCTATCTTGTCTAGTGTAGTTTTAGTAAAAATACATTCAAATCCATGGTTAAGGGAGTCCAAGAGTTGATGGAGATGAAGATGAGGAGGAATTTGATGATTTGGACAATGAATTTGATCTTGCAAACTATCCGAGGAGAGACCCTCATAGTGTTGCTGAGGCTGTTCTCTCTTCGCGCCTTAATATCGGCCGTGGTACATCTCATGCATCTGGCTTTGCCACCCCTTCTGAGGTGGATGCAGCCACTCTAAATCCAGAGATCCCTCTTCTTACTTATGGCCAAGAGGTACCAGTAACATCAAAATTTTTGTGATTCTAAATATTTGTAAGTGGGTCAAAATCAAGATTTGTGATTAATGTGATGGTTCTTTTTGTTGGTTGAAGGATGATGGGATTTCTGCTGACAAACATGCTCTAATCATCCCACCATTTATGAATCGAGCAAAGCGAATCCATCCTATGCCATTTTCTGATACTGCCTCATCAGTTTCTTGTAAGTATTTGGTTTCTGATCAACTGTAAGTATTTCAATGAATTGTTAGCTTAATTTTCATGGTTATGTTGCAGTGCCACCTCGACCCATGGATCCTAAGAAAGATCTGGCGGTTTATGGTTATGGAACGGTTGCGTGGAAAGATAGAATGGAGGAATGGAGGAAGAGACAAAATGATAAACTCCAAATGGTTAAGCACGAAGGTGATGGTGGTGGCAGTGGACATAATGATGGAGATGTTGATGATCCTGATATGCCCAAGTACGTGCATCCTTTCAATATTGTTTTTGTTAGTTTAGTAACAGTAGATTGGTTTTTAAAAATCAAATCTTACAACTTAACATAAACGACACAAAGGCTTACATATAGAGCAAGATACTTGATCTCATCTTCATAGTCTAATTATGTTAATTAAGTTATTGGAGTAGTACCCCTTTTGCAAATTTTCTATTTCTTGGCAAAATTTCAATCTAAAGAATTGTCACTGTTACAGATCAATTGATGGTTAGGGAACCCTATTGTGACAGGTGTAATCATAAATGGTAATTATGAAGTTCTCTTAACATAATGTAGGTGCAATAATGTGTAGTGTGTCTTGTCTTACTTGTTATAGACATGTACAAACACAAACAAATGCATGTATTTATGTATGTATGTGTATATGTGCGTGTGTAATATATATATATATATATACATATGTATATGTTAGTCTTTATTCCTTCTACCTTTTGCTCATGCTTGTGCACAAGTTGGGGGTTTTCATAGAAACAACCGCTCTAGTCTTTTGGAGAGTTGAGATCAGGTCATTCTCCCATCTCACATCTGCACCCAACTTTGAAGTGGAATTTACCGGGTCGGTTTGGTTTCATTTGGTTATACGTGTATGTTTGTGAAATACTCTGTTTCTTGTCTTCAGAGTGTAGATATTTATAAATCGTTACATGTTTACAGGATGGACGAAGGGAGGCAACCACTCTCGAGGAAGTTACCAATTTCTTCAAGCAAGATAAATCCATACCGAATGGTCATATTGTTGCGTATGGTGATTCTTGGTCTCTTCTTTCACTATAGAATCCTGCACCCTGTCAAGGATGCATATGCCTTATGGCTCACATCAATCATTTGTGAGATATGGTTTGCGGTATCATGGATCTTTGACCAATTCCCAAAATGGTTCCCAATCGAGCGTGAAACTTACCTAGATCGATTGTCTCTGAGGTATGTGATTCCGCTCCCCACTTACTCTATTTTCTTTAATCAAACCAAACGAGCCCAGTAAAGCCCCGTTGGAGTTGGGGTCGGGTATGATATATGTAGGCCTGACCTTTACCCCAACGAGTAGAGCATTTGTATCTTTCTTTCTCAAGATTAATTTAATTTTTTTTCGTATCAGGTACGAGAAAGAGGGGAAACCTTCTGAGTTGGCTCCTATAGATGTCTTTGTGAGTACGGTTGATCCGTTGAAAGAACCTCCTCTCATTACCGCTAACACGGTGTTATCCATTCTTGCTGTGGATTATCCCGTTGATAAGGTTGCTTGCTATGTCTCTGACGATGGTGCGGCCATGCTTACGTTCGAAGCTCTCTCAGAAACGTCTGAGTTTGCAAGAAAATGGGTACCATTTTGCAAGAAGTTTAATATAGAGCCGCGTGCTCCCGAGTGGTATTTTGCTGAGAAGGTTGATTATCTTAAAGACAAAGTACATCCCTCATTTGTCCGAGAACGCCGTGCTATGAAGGTAACATCACTTTTGATGTCAAACCTATTGATTTTGGAATGAGTCACTTTTCGTTCTTTCTACTTGGATTTCTGTTGCAAACAAACCAGCATTCTTGCAAAAAATGTAAAATTACTGATTTTTGAAGAAAACCAATGTGCTCGACAACTTTTGTCCAAATTTGGTAGTCAAATATTAGATCAAAAAGTTGATCATATCTTTTATTAGAAATAATTTTTGGTGATTGATTTATATATAGTTGTTATAAACTATCTGACACACAGAGGGAATACGAAGAGTTCAAGATACGGATCAATGGGCTTGTGACGATGGCACAGAAGGTTCCGGAAGAGGGATGGACAATGCAGGACGGTACTCCATGGCCAGGAAACGACGTTAGGGATCATCCCGGAATGATCCAGGTGTGTAAAGTTTCTCGATTTCTGTTACTGAGGAATGATTTGAATATCAATACTAATAAGAACACTTCCTTTTCTGATGAAAATAGGTTTTCCTAGGGAATAATGGTGTCCATGACATGGAAGGAAATGAGTTACCGCGGCTTGTTTACGTTTCTCGTGAAAAGAGGCCTGGATTCGATCACCACAAGAAAGCTGGTGCCATGAATGCTCTAGTATGAATGTTTCTTGATTTGCGTAGTTTGTGTGTTTTAAAAGACATTTTCCATGATCCGTTTCTAACTTATTTGGTTTTCTTGAAGATTCGTGTTTCGGCTGTCATATCAAACGCACCTTATATGCTCAACGTCGATTGTGATCACTATATAAACAACAGTAAAGCACTGCGAGAATCTATGTGCTTCATGATGGATCCGACATCTGGAAAGAAGATTTGCTATGTTCAATTTCCTCAAAGATTTGATGGGATCGATCGACATGATAGATACTCAAATCGCAACGTTGTGTTCTTCGACGTATGCACCTTTTCGACTCTATCTAGTGAAGATCTAATTTATACTATTTTTGGTTTACGATTAAATTTTACATACTGCTGCATAGCACGGGGACGCTTGTAGTCATTACGATATATCTTAATTTCACAGATTAATATGAAAGGGCTTGATGGCATACAAGGGCCGATATACGTTGGAACGGGTTGTGTGTTCAGGAGACAAGCATTGTATGGATATGATGCCCCGACGAAGAAGAAACCTCCAGGCAAAACATGCAACTGCTTGCCAAAATGGTTTTGTTGTTTTTGCAATTCAAGAAAGAAGAAAAGCAAAGGGAAGTCAAAGGAGAAGACGAAGAAGACGAAAGAAACTTCCACACAAATACATGCACTCGAAAATATCGAAGAAGGAATTGAAGGTAAGTAATGTGGTTTGCACACTTGTCACATCTTTACGGAAGCAATTGCTTTACTCGTTATCCCAACCCCAGACCTCACCTTGGGGGCGTATACTGGGCTCGTTTTTTTTGAATATTTGCATCTTGGAATGACCCTGAAATGGATGTCTTTTGCAGGAATAGATAGCGAAAAGTCGTCGCTCATGCCTCAGATAAAGTTTGAGAAGAAGTTTGGTCAGTCTCCGGTGTTCATAGCTTCAACCCTTTTGGATGATGGCGGTGTTCCACCAGGAGCAACCTCCGCATCACTCTTGAAAGAAGCCATTCATGTGATAAGTTGTGGTTATGAAGATAAAACCGAATGGGGGAAAGAGGTATGTGAAAACAAGAATAATTTAAGATGATTAAAGTGCCTTGTTTTAGTTCATTCGTCGTTTTCTATAGACACCACCTCAACTGGTATGATCTTGAACAGGTTGGCTGGATTTATGGTTCGGTGACTGAGGATATCTTAACCGGTTTCAAGATGCATTGCCATGGTTGGAGATCGGTGTATTGCATTCCAAAGAGGCCAGCATTCAAGGGTTCAGCTCCTATTAATCTTTCGGATCGTCTTCACCAAGTTCTTAGGTGGGCTTTGGGGTCTGTCGAAATCTTGTTAAGCCGACATTGTCCGATATGGTACGGTTATGGGTGCGGTTTGAAGCCATTGGAACGGTTTTCATATATAAACTCTGTTGTTTATCCGTTGACATCTGTTCCATTGGTGGCGTATTGTACTCTTCCGGCCGTCTGTCTCCTCACTGGAAAGTTCATCGTTCCTGAGGTAACAAAAACTCAACTCATCACTGCAAGAAAACCGGGTTAATAGCATGCTAAAAATATTTAATCGTCTTAATAGATTGTGTCATACACTTAAGGTTATAGGACCACACAATAATCAGTCTTAAGTAGAAGTGTTACAATAAGTTTATAGACGCTTTTGGGTGTCTTAGCAAGCTTTTTAAGACACTTTTGAAATAAAGCGTCTTGTTAGCTTTTCTACATGACACGTCCTATATATCTGTTGTAACACTTTTACATGGATGAACAAGTGTTTAGTAGTCTATTAGGACACTTAAACGTTTTTGACGTGTTATAAGCTGGTTGATGTTAGACGGAAACGAATGATGATGGATGATTGTATAATTTTCAGATAAGCAATTATGCTAGCATTCTCTTCATGCTCATGTTTTTGTCGATTGCCGTAACGAGTATCCTTGAAATTCAATGGGGAGGTGTCGGCATAGACGACTTATGGAGGAACGAGCAATTTTGGGTTATTGGTGGGGTCTCGTCTCATCTTTTCGCGCTTTTCCAAGGTCTCCTCAAGGTGTTGGCTGGAGTGAACACCGCCTTCACCGTTACCTCGAAAGGAGGAGACGATGGGGATTTTGCCGAGCTCTACCTCTTCAAGTGGACCACCCTGTTGATTCCTCCGTTAACCCTCTTGATCTTCAACATCATCGGTGTGATTGTCGGCATCTCAGATGCAATCAGCAACGGGTACGAGTCGTGGGGCCCGCTTTTCGGGAGATTGTTTTTTGCAATATGGGTGATTCTGCATCTTTACCCTTTTCTCAAAGGTATGATGGGAAGGCAGAGCAATGTTCCGACCATCATCATCGTGTGGTCGATCTTGCTCGCTTCGATCTTTTCTCTTTTATGGGTTCGTGTTAACCCGTTCTTGGACAGAGGTGGGATTGTGTTGGAGGTTTGTGGGTTGGACTGTGATTGAAGAAGATACGGAAAACACGTTACAGACGAACGAACGAACGATTCAAACCGTGAATTCGATATTTATTAGTGAATGTGTGTAGATAAAAAGGGCAGGGACCTGATACTTTGATGATTGATTTTGCAAAGTCTTTTTATTTTGATTTTTTTTTAAAAAAATCTTCAAATTGATTCTTTAAAATTTGGGTAATTTTTGTGGGTTGTGAGGGATAGAACTTGAAGGAGATGAATCTGTCTTGTATTCCCAGGAAGAACATAAAGTTTAGTTATTTATTTCTCATATAATTTAAGGTCTTTCTGAATAAGGGACTTTTGATTTTTATCATGTCTTTTAGATCTTTTGAATACTGGGCTACTTGATTGAGTTGGTCGGATCGAAGACATTTGAACAATTCAATTCATTGTTTATGGTTTGAAGAATCTCAACCTAATTCAACCCAACCCAAATCGTGCGGGTTGGGTTAAAACTTTGGTATGTTATCTAACTACGAGTTGGTCTAATGTCTATTATACATATATTAATTAATAACTTAACAATTATATTAAATTCATAATATAGAAAGATATCGGGTTAATTGGTTTGGTTGGGTTCAAATTACCTTAACCTATTTCCAATCTAATATATATGGTTTGACCTAATTTTGTATCAACTATATATCAGATTGATTGAGTTGGGTCAGTATTTTGAGCATCCCTGGCTTTAATGCCAAAAAGATTTGTAAAAAGAGCTTGAAAATGCTCAAATCTTTTAAAAAAGCCAGAGCGCTTTTCTGAATGAAAAACTTCAGGAGGAAGTTTATGTTGAACAACCTCCAGGGTTTCTTGACCCAAAATGTCCTAATCATGTCTATCGATTGGATAAAGCTCTTTATTTGGTTAAAACAGGCCCCTCATGCCTCATATGACATCCTTTATTCATTTCTCCTCTTTGAAAAATTTGTTCGTTGAAAGATTGACCATATCATATTTCTTAGGAAAGTCAAGGGTCATATCATTCTAGTCCAAATTTATATCGATATTATATTTGGTTCCACTAATCCCTCTTTGTGTTTTCTGTTCGCTGAACGCATGAAGAAAGAAAATCGGATGAGCATGATAGGAGAACTGACTTACTTTCTAGGTCTTCAGATCAAACAATCTGATAAAGGTATCTTTATCTTTATCAATCATAGTAAGTATGCGATGGATATGTTGAAGAAATTCAACTTAAACAACAATACATCTATGAAGACTCCAATGACTCTTCCTCTCTCGCTGAACAAGGATCCAAATGGGAAGCCTGTAAACGTCAATGTTTATAGAGGAATGATCGGCTCCGTACTGTATCTTACAGCTAGCCGACCTAATATTATGTACTCTACTTGTCTTTGTGTAAGATACTAGTCTAAACCTAAGGAATCTCATCTGATCGTTGTAAAACGCATTGGTTCTCATCCTTCAGAGACTATGAGTGTAATAGGAGCATCCGTCGACAAAAGGATCACCCTAAGATGATCATCTCATAGCTATTGAGAACGAATCAAATCAAATGGTTCTACTTTCTGACTTGCTCCTACGGAACCAAGATCGAAAAGATTGAAAAAATCAGTCATTCACAACCACTGATGAAGGATTCCTTGAAAAGTTAAGGATTAGTAATCTTTTTTAGAAATCGAATGGATTCGGTCTTATTCATACGCTACATCATCAAATAGGGGGAGATTGTTGATCTTCTCTTAGTGATTTGATGATGATCCCTTTTACCTTACGAAATATACTTTCTCTGTATTCAGTTTCAACGATCACCACTGAGTCTGTTCAATGATCGCTGAACATGTATTATAATTCGTTCAAATACCAGTATCATTCAAGAAGACAAAACTCACATGACAGATCCTTCAGCGATATCAAAGATAAAAGCTGAAAATAGAGACCAGCAAGTTCGTGATCTGAAGCGGTTTTTAGTGATAACAAGCTCGTCTATACAAGTGTGAAATCTATGCAAGATTCAGCGAACACTGATGATATATTTAGCATCATTCCAATGTGCGATCAAATGAATCTTGTTGAACACGATAGTTTTTGTCTTGTCCTTCTGGACACAAAGGACAAACCCATACATTTCAAAGTAAAGTACTGTATGAAGTCACTCCATTGTATCCAAGTGTGCTTACCTACTTTATGAAGGAAGATTGTTCATATGTGGCCAAAAGACTGTATACTGCAACAAAGGACAAACTTACCTCTTAAAGCTTGCCACGTGCTTTGTACCTTTGAATTGCATTTAATGCAATGTGTATAAATAACTGAGTAGTTCTTGTTTCTCGGTTACACATCTATCTTTAACACATCCAAGCATCCTTGTCTTGAAGATCTTACCCAAGAAGATACTTCTCCCTCTATATTCTCTATCTAAGAGAAAGACTTCCACTGTAACAAGTGAATAACACATTACCTCTTAACCTATTTCTTGTAGCAAGTCTTTCCTTCTTGTTATTTGTAATTTTGTGTGTATCTTTGATTGTTTAAATAGATTCTTTATCCTATCTTTTCCGCAAACAATCTGTAAAAAATAGTACTGATCTTCTTTATCAATATAAGTTTTTTAAAAGTGAAAGTTGTTGTGTTTGTATTCACCCCCCCTTCTACAAACTATTACCTATAAACTCTAGTAGATCCGGCTGGGACCAACAATAATTCATGTGGGGTTTTATTGGTCTTTTTGGTTGGTGCATTATCCAGTATTCGGGCAACTGTTTCTAGGGAATATCCCCAAAAACTCTTAGGCAAAGTGGTACAATTCATCATATAATGAACCATGTCCAACAGAGTTCTATTTCTCATTCAGACACACCGTTATGTTGAGGTGTTTCGGGAGGAGATAGTTGGGATACTATCCCATGGTCTCTAAGATGATCAATAAACTATTGGATTATTCGCGACATCGATCTGACCGAAACACTTTTATTCTTTTGCTAAGTTGATTCTCTACTTTATTTTGAAACTCTTTGAATATCTCAAAGCTTTCAGATTTGTTTTTTATTAGATAAACATACCCATATCTACTGAAGTCATCAATAAAGGTAATGAAATAGCGATGACCATTTCTTGTGATTGAACTGAAAGCCCACATACATCAAGTTGAATAACTCCTAACAGTTTTGTAGCCTTATTAGGTTTACTTTTAAAAGGTGTCTTTGTCATCTTGCCTAATAAACAAGATTCACATATATCATATAAATCATCACATGATTCTAATATTTCGTCCGCCTGGAGTTTAGCTATGTGTTTCTTGTTTATGTGTCCAAGACGACAATGCCACAAGTAAGTTTGATTTAAGCCCTGATTAATTCGTTGATTGTTAATGTTGTATATTGACTCGTAATTACAGTTGTTCAACATATCAATTTCAGAAATACCATTGTATGGTTTAGCCAAAAAATACAAAACATTGTTAAGGAAAGCAGAAATTGAATTATTACTGAAAATAAACATAAATCCAATTTGCTAAAATTGAGAAAATGATACTATATTCCTAGTAATGCTAGGTACATGTAAACACTTGCTAAGTGATAGTGTAAGGCCATTTGGCAGTTCCATATCATATATCCCTTGAGCAACTACAACTACCTTAGCTCCATTGCCCATTCTTAGTTCCATCTAGCCTGATTTTATTCTCTATTCACTTCTTCGTCCCTATAAAGTAGTACAAATATGAGTACCACATCCGCTATCCAATACCCAAGAATCTGTATTAGAAATGAACAAACTAATGGTAAACATACCTGAAGTTCCAACTGCAGTAGCCTTCTTCTTCCTTTGCTCTGCCAGTAGTGTTGGACAAATTTTTTTTTTTCCAATGCCCCTTTTGGTTACAATTGAAACAGGCTGCGTCTTCAAGAATCTTTCCTTTGTTCTTATACTTGTTGGAACTTCCAACCTTTGTTTTACCTTGGGAACCACCTTTTTCTTTTTGGCTATCCCACCTTTATGATTGATCATTAGAACCTGTTTTGTTTGGATGCTTCCGACTTGGAATTTATACTTCTTTCAGCAGTTTTAAGCATGCCGTGAAGCTCTGTGAGAGACTTATCCAAACCGTTCATACTACAGTTCATGACGAACTGGTCATATGATTCAGGTAGGGAATTGAAAAACATAGCGATTGTCAATTCCTTATCTAGTGGGAAGCCAAGGCGGGTTAATCGGTCTATATGCCCTTTCATTTTTAATACATGGGGACCAACTGATTAACCCTAAGTCATCATACAGGCATGCAATGCCCTAACTGTGTCAAAACTTTCCCGTCGTGCCTGTAACTGAAACATATATTTTAGGGATGATATTATATCCCAGGCTGACATGTCTTCATGTTCCCTCAATAATTCGGGAGTCATAGAGGCAAGTATGACACATCCGACCTCCAGTGAGTCATTTTGGTACTTATCATAAGCAGCCCTGACTTTAACTCATGCGTTTATGGCAAGGGTGTTTGGAGGGGGATCGTCAAGAACGTTGAACTTCTACTCATGCCTGAAGACAACCCTCAGGAAGCGAAACCATTCGAGGAAGTTCGTCCTGTTCAGTTTTTCTTTTTCAAGAATAGATCGCAATGTGTATTGGGATAGGTTAATAGTGATTGTGTCTGTGTTTGTAGTTGGAGCAGATATCTACAAAATTTTAAGTTCAATTTTAGCAACTTTAAGATCTCAATTAAATAATAAAGCTTTAGAAAATATTTTTATTTGAGCTAAGATCCTTATTTCATCAATTTCCATAAATGGTTAATATGCTGTCTATGAAAATAGATTATTTATGTAGGAATCATCCAATTATGTTCAACGTAATTCTTAGATGATCATGAGATTCTATTTGATATATCATATATCGAAATTGACTTGTTTAATCCCAGTTCAACACCTTGAAAACACTCATAGATGGTCAATGTTCTGTCTATGAAACTCTCAAGTAAACTAACCATACTAATGTATCATGATCCCACCTAAATTCTTGATTTAGGTTTTATGTGGGATCAGTCGTCCAAAATACGACTATTTAAGCGAATGGCCAATGCTATGTTCACTTAAATCTCGTTATTCTGGCACTTTGTCTCACACTATAATCATCCGACATGATTGGCTAGGCTCTAACCATGCCGGAATTTATAAGTCTTGACAAGTACTTTAAATGGATGGTTTTAGTTTACATTTGCAAAAGGTTTAATCTCAGAAAACATTATATCTGTTAAAACGTTTGATTTTGTAAAAAAAATCTTTGTTTTAAAAGTTTATCCAAAAATCGGTTTGTTTTGATAATCATATCACTTTAAAATATTATTTTTTAATTAAAATGTTTGCAAATATTATAGCAATAATAATAAACACAAATAAATGCAAACACAAAATAAACAACCATGAAATAAAAATATATGGATTTGCCCCTAATGTTGTGTTGTTGTGAGCCAACACAACAACTACGGTCAGTCTAAGGACATCTTCAAACTCCCACTGGTCTCGCCATCTTGGTGAATTCCAGTGACTCCGTTTCAAGTGCTTGGACTGCCATCATTGGATCATTACATAAACAGAAAATTGTCCCTATCTAAAAAACATAAAATTAAAATTACAATCCTTTGCAATTAATACATTTTAATTTTTCAAATAAAATAACCAATCCAAACAACGGGTCTTTCGTGGCAAACTATAGTGTATATATATATATATATATATATAAATATATATATATATATATAAATATAAATATAAATATAAATATACATATGGAGAGTCCTCCAAGCTATCAATTCCTCATAAGTATGCCAACATGACTAAGGGGCAGTTTGCCCAATGGCTTACACAGTAAACGCTTATCGATATGAGTCAAACATTATGATTTATTTTGATGCGTAAGATTTTAGTAATATCAAAACATATCGAATGCAATAATTTAGTGGATAAGCGCTTACCTGAGTAAGAGTCGTGATCCTCACTTACCGGATAAGACTCTCCATCATTCTCATCGCTCTTACGTGGTAAGATTCTTGACCCTTCTCATATCCATCCGAAGAGGAAATTTATCCGATAAGTACTTACCAAATAAGTGTTTAATAAACGGCCCCTTAATATTATTCCAAGTATCAATCACCGGTTATCATCTATCAATATTACCTTTAGACAATGCTGAAGCTAAAGGACTTGTATGATTTGATCTTCAACAAGTTACAAAAGAACCAATCGTTAAATAGAACAAACATGTTAACACAAATAACTCCCAACACAAAATAACCATCAGTTTGCATTACAAATATTCATATCAATACTACGCCGAAAACCAGATTTGGGTCTGAATCGATTGGAGAACAGCGAGAAGGAGAGTGATTTGGGACTGGATTGACTCGAGAACATCAAGAAGGAGAGTTGGTTGGATCTTGATCGATTGGAGAACAGCGAGAAGGAAAGTTAATTGGCTTTGGATCGATTGCAAAACAACGAGGAGAGTGATTTGGATTGATTGAGAATAACAAAGATTGATTGGAGAATAGGGAGGAGATTAATTTGGATTAATTGAAGCTCTGGAAATAAAGATCTATTGAAGTGACACGAGTTTTTCACCGAGAACGATCTGATCGATTTCATATGAGAGAAGACCTAAAATAAGAGGAGAGGTTACATCTTATCAAATCAGAACATGCATAAGACCCTTTTATTATAAGTAAAAACAAACAGTTTTAATCATTGAACCTCTTACCCAATCAGACTTTAGAGAAAAACCAAAAAGGGCCTTAATATCATCCCAACACCAATCCTAAGCGGTCATTCTTAACCATTAGTTTCTCATGAATCATGACCATCTCAACCAATGACCAGTACCAGGCTTAAGATCAATCTGTGTTCATACCCAAGCTAGGGACCAGGACGCAGATGGAACCAAGACCGGACCAGACTCATTTTCAAATTGAAGTGATCAAAGCAACCAGGACCAGAGGACCCAGATGGAACCAGGACCGGAACCACATGGAACCGGGCTGGGCTAGTTCACACCGACACTCATTTACAAATTGAAGTGATCATTCAAGATGAGTAGCTACAAGGATCAATGAATACAAAAAAAATATGAAAGAAATGATCATACCTTCATTCTACAATACAAGAACGAATCACTTGTACAACTATCCATGCACAATGTACAACTGATACCCCGAAAGAAAAACTAACTTGAATATTGTTGGCCTTGAAAACAGAATGAATGAAATCAATATTGAAGTTGTAAAAAAATGAATGATATGCAGTGAAGTGTATAGATAGAGATACATACATACATACATACATACATGCATATTATATCTAGGAAGTACCACAGCCACAGTATAATCCAATCTGAGTAAACAGCCATTGTAAAGGGTTTGGATGATCATCATCATCTTCTTGTTTTGAAGGTAGAGTTGACGAGAGTGGCATATCTGCTGGCAAATGCCGATGAAATGCATCAACTGCATTCGCGACCCCATCTTCGTTTTCTATTAGTTTTGCCAAATCCATTGCTCGACTTTTCACCTATCAAACATTTTTACACGATAAGAGTCCAACTCAAATGACCAAGTAATTCCTATCTAATAAAATCTACAATCAAGAATAAGTATTTGTTAAAATTTCTTTCCATAATGGCAAAACAAGAAAATCCTGCCGAAATCAATAGTCTTCAAGCGTGAGCCTTGAGACTTCCATTTTGTTCGACTCAACGAACGTTCTTGGTAGGGTTGGCGTTTACTATATAAAGTAGTATGAGTTTATGAGACCTCATGAAGTTATTCATTTGTGGTAATTGGAAACTAAGGAGCCGTTTACCAAACTTTTACTTGGTAAGAGCTTATCTATGAGCATGGCAAGGACCGAGAATTCTTACCCGGTGAGAGGCATAGCAAAGACCAAGAATGTTACCTAGTTAAGTGAGGGAGTAGAATCTTACCCGGTAGGCACTTACCACAATCCATTTTGATGATCAATAATGTTATATAATTCTTATTGATATACTGGCATTACCAAAAGGCTTCACGAACACAAGTTAACTCTTTGAGTAGATGACAGATACGCATAAATCCCTCCCTCCCTAGACCTAGACCTAGACCTACTTCCGAGTGGTATATGTTGGGTTAGTCTGGTTTGGTTTGGGATTGTATCAACTGGAACAAGATGTTTAACATTCTTGATATGCTTTTAAACTATCGCTCTTCTAGTGCATGTGCCTTTCGGTTTCTAGCAGACGAAAACCAAGACTCTCCAGATTTGTTTAGACATTCAATTACTGAGAATCCATGGTTACTCACACCTTTAAGAACCAAACGAATTCAGTATACCCCACATTTTACATAGAAATTGAATGCTTCCAATCATTTTACTTACCTCTGGCTGCAGCATGAAATTTATCGAATCTGAAAGTGCTTCAACACTGAGCTGATTAATTGGGATTGGATTTGGCCCCAGTCCTCTATGATATATTCTATCACCCCAAAAATACTGATCTCCGAAGAAGGGGACAATAGTTGTAGGACACTGCATTTTCACATTACGAGTATATATAAAACAACCATAACTTGAAGAACTCATCAAATTGACATTTATAACAAGTAGTACAGGTTAGTATATATATATATAACATACAAGACGTTCTCGTGTTAAATTCATATCAGTTCTAAATCAAATAAATATAAGCAAAAAGTAAAAAATCAGACTAAATTATTACCCCAGCTCTCAATCCTGTGGCCGTTGTTCCAGCACCTCCATGATGAACCTGCGAAATTATAAAATATATTTTCAATTTATTAAGATTCCAATCGTGCATACCATTTTCCTTTATTATCTGAACATAGCATTTCCCATAAAAACATATGAACAAGAGGGGTTTTTGGTCCTATTCGTGTAGACGATTTAACATATTAATACATTGCTCACCACGGCTGCACATTGAGGGAATAGCCAATCATGAGGGCAATCCACCAGAAGAAAAACATCCTCAGGAATTTCTGGAACTGCAATCACGATTTTACCCCAAAGGGTCAAGAAATCAAAAAAGAAATGAGGTCAAACAAACCAATTTTCGTATATGCATTTGAACATTGGCTTTATAAGGCACTTATGTAATTCAAAAGGAAGCTACAAGTGGTAAGATTGTTGACATGAAGCATAAAGTGGCCAAAAATTTGTAAGACTTTAACACACGTCCTCAATCATCAACAACCGTCAAGAAAATCTTTTTATGGTGTAAGAAATAAAAGATAAGTTCTACACTTTATTGGAGAAGAAACTTACAGGTCCCAAGATCCCCCCAACCTCGGTCAATTATCCCCCTTTGTCCCGTTTTTCTCAGAGCCTCCAAAATGATAGTTGTGGTTTTCACTGAATCTTCAAGAGGCTTAGAAAGAAAACAAGTTAAAGATTAGTTGGTTTGATCTCAAAAGTAAAATTACAGCAAGAACACGACTAAACTTCGTTATAAGTTCAGTCCCCATACCATACTCCCAAACCCAATATATATGGGACTTGTTCCTTTTCCAATCCATTGAATGAATTCTTCAGGAGGTTGATACTTGGAAGCAAGATTCAAGAAGCAATAACCAACAACATCGACCAGCGGACCCCAATCTGCAAATGAGACCCACAATCACACTTCCAATTCTTCTCATACAACGAAAAATGGTAAGCGGCCAGAACAAACTTAGAGGATGTATTCTTACCACTTGGTTTTGATACAACATGAGGACTCCACATGTAGCCAGTTGGGAAATGAGATATTGAACCACGATACATGCTAAAGTATGCAATGGGAGCAAGATTCAACTTCTTCCTGAAGTCATTTATATATCCTCTTATGCCCCACCAGATCAGAAGATCCACAACTATATACGAGAGCTGGACAAAAAGGTAAAAAGAAATCTTGTAAACATTACGGTTAAGAATCTTTTGCAGAACTTCCTGCGAAATGGTCAGAAGATAAATGAGAATGTACCCAATAACCAGCGCTTTGAGGAACACGTGCCAATGGGGAAGGAAACTCAGATGTCGGCCTGCCTATAGAAAAGAGATGTAAGAACTAAGAAGACACCACCTTTAGACAATAACCACTAGAAAATGAAGTCATTTTTAAATATAATATTCTTATGAAGATTTTTGAATTTTTAGTGAAGATGAAGGATCCACAGAAACAAAATTTACTACACCCCCTCCACCCACCAATATTTTAAATATTTAAAAGTGTGTTAATTTTGTGGTTTGTTATCTTTATATAATTTGAAATTATCCTCATCCTAACTACCCAGAGCTTTTTATATTATTGATAATAATAAGAATATAATATACAATGTGCAAATAAAAAAATGCTATACACTAAAATGAAATTCCCAAAAGATGACTGTTGGAAGATTAAGATGGTTCTGGCTTTCGAGCGGGCAGATTCTCTCCCAAGGCAATCGGCTAACCGAATACAAAAGAAGTCCGGATACCCTAAAAGAAACGACCCCTCCACGATCATAAAAAGTAAATACAGGAGTACCCTCCCACTACCAAAAAGTTAATTACAGAAATACCCCTTCTATTCTAATGTCTAATTCTTCACTTATGAGCTCTCCTAGCATAAGTAAATCCGACTGGGGGTTGACCAATACCCCTCCAAACAGTTTCACCTTGTCCTCAAGGTGACAGTCTGGACATTGTTTGATAAGAGCTTCAAATACTTCTCGGGATGCTTCAAACTCCGACATTCCTATATTCAACACAAAACCTCCAACTATCATCTTTCTTTGAAAACACAACGGCCCCATGTAATTCGTCTAAAAGCTCATCGATAACAGGGATCGGAAATTTGTCAATTAGTGTATATTTGTTGGCTGCTCTATATTCAACACAAAACCTCCAACTACCATCTTTCTTTTTAACTAACACTGGACTAGAAAACGGGCTAGTACTATGTTCAATAACCCCTGCCTCCAACATCTCTTCAACCATTTTTTCGATCTCATCCTTTTGATGATGAGGGTATCGGTAACGCCTAATATTAACCGCTCCACTACCCTCCTTTAACACGATTATATGCTCCTTACCCCTTGTTGGCAGGAGACCCTTCAGCATATTAAACACCCTTTCATAGTCTGCCAACAAGGTAGATAAGGCTTCTAGATCATGCGGATTGTTGGCTGCCATGGCTATGAGAATCCCTAACTCCACTAAAACTCCATGACCCTCCTGTTTAATAGTTTTAGCCATTGTTTTCAATGATACAAACTTCAACCAAGCAACGAGTCACCATGAAACATAATTGAATCATTACCCAATCTATATTTCATAATCTGAGATTTCCAGTTGATGTAAGTGGCACCCAAAGTTTCGAGCCACTCTGACCCCCCAATATTACATCTGAATTTCCCAATTGGATAGGCAAAAATTCTTCCCTTAATCAACCCCTGTATGTCAACCTTAACTCCTCTGCAGATGCCTTCCCTTTTTATGGTAGATCCAGTACTTATAGTAATATTATATTCCCTAGGGCTTTCCACAAACAATTGAAGCTTCTCCACTATATTTTTTGAAATAAAATTATGTGTGGCACCACTATGAATGAGCACCACTACTTTATGTTCTTGAACATTCCCCTCCATTTTCATAGTTTTTGGGTTAGTTAAACCGACAAGGGAATTGAGATGTACCTCTACATTTTGACCAACCTCCAAGGCATCTGCTGTTCCCTGCTTGTCGTCTTCTTCTTTCGGTTCGTCTTCATCAATTTCAATATCTTGCACCAATAAAACACTTACCTCCCTCTTCTTACATTTCTGCCCAGTAAATATTTCTCGTCACACTGATAATACAGACCCATCGATCTCCTCTACTGTACTTCTTGGTCGGACAACCTCCGATATTCACTACCAGCTGATGCCATGGGAGTTTTTCCAGAATTATAGTTTAATGGCTTCTTTTCTGCAGTGACCCTTGGCAGGGAGCTCAATCCAGCATTTTTCTCTCGTCCCAAAATATGATTCTTAACTTCTATTTTCATGGCCGTTTCTGTTGATTCACTCAGATTGATGGGTTCATAAGCCTCAACTCTGCCCTAATTGAAGCTTCTAGACCATTAATAAATTGACTATGAAGTACCTCTTTGGTGATACCATCTAAAGGGGCTGCCAATTCAACATATTTCCTCCTATAATCTGCCACCGACCCTTCTTGTTTCAATGCCAAAAATTGCTCGCACAAGGATCCAACAGTAATAGATCTGAATTGACGGAACATTGATTTCATTTCTTCCCAACATAGGATAGGCCTCCTCTTATGCTCCCATCAGTACCACCTTAAAGCATCTCCCTCAAGGAATAACCGATACTTCGATTTGTTCTGCTTCATTCAAGCGATTCAGAACAAGTATCATTCAGCCCTTAGAATCCACCCATCAGGGTCCTTTCCGTCGAACATTGGCAGCTCTAACTTTCACCCTATGATTGCTAAAAACTGGCCAGCATCTCCACCATCATTTCTTTCATTTTTTGCTCCCTTTCTAGCAGTATCCAGCATGTCTTTCATTATCCTCCGATCCTGATTGCGGTCCTCCTTTCTCATCTTTCTGTTTCACCAACGATTCCAGATGACGCATCATGGTTTGAACATCTTCCTTCAGCGACCCAATCTCCAATTAGAACACCCCCATGCTACCTTCGATGTCATCCATCCTTGAAGCTACACTTCTTGTCATCCCAGAGATTGACTGGTTTGATACCAATATGCTATACACTAAAATGAAATTCCCAAAAGATGACTGTTAAAAGATTAAGATGGTTCTGGCTTTCGAGAGGCCAGATTCTCTCCCAAGGCAATCGGCTAACCGAATAAAAAAAAGGTCTGGATACCCTAAAAGAAACGACCCACCACGATCATAACCCTCCCAACTACAAAAAGTAAATACAGGAATACCCTCCCACTACCAAAAAGGTAATTACAGAAATACCCCTTTTATTCTAATTCTAATTCTTCACTTACGAGCTCTCTTGACTGGGGATTGACCAAAAAACTACAAAATAACATAAACGGAGAATAATTTTTTACATATTGTGTGTTTGCACATACTCCTATGATACTATGCTACGTCTCTCACCCATCTCCTAGTATTTCTGTTTTGCAAGCAGAGGGTTTTCACAGAAACAGCCTCAATACTGGCACGCTCTGTACATCCTACACCCTCAGACCCTACCAATGTGCGAGATATACTACGTCTGTTTGGTTTGGCTTGTTTTGGAGGATAATTTTGTGCTCAAGAACATGACTCTAACAATCATGATAACATGTGCTATAAGTTGGTCATATAATAAACTTATGAGATTATCATGATGTTAGATCATGAATTCCATTTGTGAAGTTAAGCCCTCGTGTAACTCTAGTTGATTAAAACAACTATTCTACTAAACCCTACGTGAAGATAGAAGGAAAAATAAATAGAGGAGGTTAAGAGAGGGAGACAAAGAGAATCAAACTTCTAAAGAGAAGTTTCAACTCATAATTTTAATACCAACTAGCTTCATCTTAATTATAGGAGATAATTGATGCAACTATCAAATTATGGAATAAGTGAGTGGACCTTGTAGGTATCGTGTGTCTATGAATCTCTGTTTGGTTGTGCATGTTTGTGTAAACTAAGTACACTTGGTATTCAAACAAAAAGGTACAAGAAGGAATCAAATAGAAGAAGAGGTTACAAGCTCTTGCATGGTCCAAAGATTTTAGAGAACATATACAAGTGAAGACCTGCAAAATTATATGCCAAGAGATGATGATTCTGGCAAGTGGGATTGGACCAAGCATCTCTTGAGGGTGATGTTTCTAGTTGTTTCACCAGGATTTTTAATGGTGGGTATGGAACCAGATTTTGATCACTACTTGGCACTTATTCCTAACAGTTAGGAAGATTGTTCGTCAATCTCATCCTTTTGTCTAAGTTTATATCAGAATGCTAATGAATGTACAAGACAAATCGTTGTATTGTATATAATTTTCGTTTTTATGTTTCCTGCAACAAGTATAGTGTATATGTGTGTGTAGTAATCCATCCTGATACTTAAGCGAGGATATTGTAACATCCCTTCCCACCTTAGTAACAACTCACCATGATTGTAGATTATTTGGTTGTCGTATTCAATAACTTAGCTTAATATTATACATAAATCATCAGATATCTGGCTTGGAAAAACAGCTCTCATAAATGGCCCTTAGGTTAATCTATTCAAGCCCAAAAACCTATTATTTATCCTAGACCACCCTAGTGATTTGTCACCAAATCATTAATGACTTAGCGGAAATCAAGGCCATAACAAATTAAGCAGAGTGACTCAACCGCAATATATTATTACCATAGAACTCAAAAGCGAGCATAAATAAAAGAAGCATAATTCCGTCAAAGTAAAAGGAACTTCAATCAAAACTCACGTCCAAGGCATTGTGAAGAACATGTGAAGAGGTACACCAAGAGCTTCGGCAACATGAGCATGCCCTATCAAGTGTCAACCAAAGAAACATGTTAACACAAATGATGAATTCTTTATGCTTTCAAGGTTTCAATATGGTTATCAAGACAAATAATGAATTCTTTATGAGACAAATTGAACTCCCAAAACCTATATAAAAATCTTGGAAGAGACATAGGCTAGTTTGGTAAAAATAAAAACCAACTATGAGCTAGATGATAGGGTAAAATCACCTAAAAGGGCATGTTGAACTTAATTGGAAAAAAAATGAAAATATCCCCTGAAGCTTATTGAAAAATGCTACTTGAAGTAGTTTCTCAAAAAGCTAGCTTATAGCTACCAAAAGGGGCTTTATCAATAAGCTAGCTTAACATTGCCAAATATGGCCTTAGTGCGTGGTAGAGTTTTTTCATGCAACGAGGTAGATACAATGCACCAGACGCTTGATACATACCCTCCTCCTTATTCACAAATAGATATGTAGGAGAAGCACAATATAAACTCACCATAGGCAGGAGGATTTGCAATAATTGCCTGAGCATGGAAAGCTTTTCCAGTTTTCAGATCTGGTTCTGTGCATGCTGGAAGAAGAGATTCAATAATTGCCTTTAGTTGCTTCCTCTGTGTAGATATTTCACCAGGTGCTGAGGGAATAAGACCTTTATTTCTTGCCATATCTGAAGTTCAAGAAACACAACAATATTTTAGAATTTACATTTATGTTATGGGACGGGCATCAAACATGATTGTGATATGTGTTCCTAATGGAGTTGCAACGAGATGGTTCAATAGAGCGATAATTTGTTTGGTGCCAAGGACCTCTTACATCCTGCCAAAATACGAGGATCACCGCCCAAAGGATAGAAGTCTACACCAGCCGACTCTACGAAAGAGCGGAAGTTTGCATGTGTCGCTAACCTAACATGATGACCGAACTCCTGCAAATATATATACAAATATTTTTTGTAAGAAGGGCCAGAAAAGCAAGAAATGCATCATATACTCCCTCTGTCCTAGAGAAGGAGTCCACTTCAAATTCTAGAGGAAACCTAAAGAAAACTTTTTGAATGATTTTACACAGCAATTAATGAAATGATCCTTTAAAATGTTGAGATATGACTCCTTTTCCATGGCCGGAGGGAGGAGTTTGTAAAATGGAGTCTTCTTTGAGACATGCCTGAAGTCTCTTTGACATAGCAAGAAAAGGTTGAACATCTCCTCTTGTTCCCACCACAAGCATTGCAATCTTTAGTTTCGGAATAGATTTGTTAGAATCCGTTACGATGAATTCCATGTCTGGGTGAAACCCTTCAACAGATTGGTACTCGAACAACTCTGAAGCTACAGGTGCATTCTTAGATAGATCCACCTCCACCGTACCATCACTTTGGATCTTTACAAGTTCCACAATAAGCTTTTGCTGGAAGACATAATGGAGAAAGAAGAACATAAATTATGGAAACATACAAATAAGACAAACATGAAAACTCAAAATCATTCATCAGCCATGATAGTGAATTAGCATAAATACAGAAAACAAGTTAATACGGCTAGAAATGCATATGTTTATGCAATTTAAGCATAAATAGATGCACGTGTGAAATTACAGTCTTTCTAGGTAAATCTAATACTCACCTTTTCACGCTCCGACAGTCGATCTAACTTAAGTTCGTGCTTTGGAATCCATGATTGGGTCCACCACTTCTCAGTCATCGACCTAGAATATACAGCTTCCTTGGTTTCAGGAAATAGATTTCTGCGGACGCTTGCAGGTGCAGTAACGCTGTGATCCAAGGCTTCAGGAAAGAAACAAGAGTTAAATTGCTGAACCGACGAAAAGTAACTTCTATATGACAATATAAAACTAGAAACGTACAATTCGCTTACCACTTTCAACACGTCTCCACGGTTCAAGTGAAATTATACTTATTTACATGGAGCAGTTAAGTTTAGATATATAAATTTTAGTAAGTAGCCTACTCTTTATCCTAGAAAATAACCATCATATAAATACAGTTATCAGAGTAATATTTATTCAATCTAGGAAAGATAGTTTACAAACATCTAATTTATCTTGATGTTAAATTTTGGAATAGGATGCGTTTTTTAGACAAAGATCGATTGTAAAACGGACCTTCTTTAGGAACTACCCAAATTAAACAACAAGTGTGTGCTCATTATTTTAAGGACTATCATACATCAATTTAATATGGTACATGACAAAGACTATAAGTCAACAAGTTCAACCACCTTCTAGAACTAATTTGCTACCATTTGGAGCAAACAAGGAGCTAGCCTTGTAGCAACAGTAAAATTTTAGCAAGTTAGGGGTCTTGACGGAAACAACCTCTCTACTCTTCAGGGAAGAGGTAGAGGTAAGGCATGTGTGCATCTTACCTTACTCCATGTGGGGTTTACTGTGTTTGTTTGGTTTGGTTTACCAACTCTTTGGATGAGGAAACAAAAAATATGATTCATAATTTGACAAATATGGAGCAATCTTTGTCATTGCAACAATGTGTGTCCATTATTTGAATCAATACAGAAGGATAGAAGCAATATGTTATATGGCTCTTTAAAATTTTCTACAAGAAACCCCACCCAAAATATGAGAAACATGAATAAAATTATAGAAATTCTATCTAGTTTCCCTTTTTTCTATAAGATATAGTATGGAGCAAACACTGCAGCCTCATCAAAATATCTCAGAATACAGACATAATTGGGATCCCTTTGGCCATCACAATGTCGAGTATATATGAGAAAATTAGATATGCCATCAAACTAAACTAGCATATCTATCTCCAATGTATTAGGTAGATTATTACTCCAAAGCGCAAGGTGGATTATTACTCCAAAGCGCAAGGTGGACAGTAAGATTCAAATTGTCTAGGCATCATACTTGATTTTTTGTTCCAAACAAACCATCATCCTTACAAAAATGAAAGGAAAAAAAGCATAATCATGTAAGAATGCGTGATTTTGAATAAAATGCAGAAATGCTAATGAACTTGTTGTCCAAAAACCATCGATCATGCATATTGCATAATTTATTTTGTGATTTTACAAAAGGTTTGTTTGCATCAAAAGAACAAGTATGATGGTTCCAAAAACTAATAACTCCTTTACAATTAACAGGCTTATTCAACAGACATGGTACCAAGCATAAGTATCATCAACCTGAATGCTAAGAACAATGCCATACCCCCATATTTATATGAATTGTACCAAGTCAATACTGAAGCCTGTAAATGTCCATTTTTATGGTCAGTAATGCAGTATTTTTGGCAATTTAGCTTCAGAACACGATATAAAACAAGATTATACAACTAGACAAGTGTAAGGTTATAAAGAAGTAACAAAAAGTAATTAGATTATAGGCACTAACCCCTTCGAGGATGTGGTGGAGCACTATAACTCAATTCCTTGGATTTTGAGATCTCTACAGGTGATGAAACATCCTTGTGCATCAGCGGTGAACTAGTTGCACTCCGATTCTCCACCTCATTAGAAGCCGTGGCACCATAAGATTCTTCAGTTTTCCCTTTGCTTAAACTCTCGTCAGGATCCATTTCATTTGATAAGCTTCAAGACTCTCAATTGAATCTGACGAGCTCAACTAAGAAAACCCCAGCAGAACCCTTGAAGAACTTAATCCTTTTCAATACCCAAATTCTTAAGGTCAACAAAAAACCCACCAAAACCCTTCAAGAAACACGTCCTTCAAATCTGAAATTGCAGGAAATTCCCAAGGTTAAGAGATTCTCAAATCAACTCCGAAAGCTATTAAACAAAAACCAGGCGATTAAAGCAGGTGAAAACACAACGCTAACAGCCGATCAAGAATACCCAAATATTGGATTTCTTTGCTTTTTATCATTCAAAATGTATTCCAAAACGCACCACTCACACAACAACTTCCAATCAGCGAACACATTCTTCACGCACAATATTTCCGCATGACAAAAGAAAGTAAGAAACAGAGGACCCAAGAAGAGACGCGCACAAGAAAATTCATATCAAATGACCCCTGCTCCGTCAATTTAGGTAAGCGAGTTTATTTGATTTTAAAACAAAATAATAATAAAATAAGAGAAAAGATTACCAGAAAACGCTTAAAGAATGTACTTTGCAATCCTCTTGATAGACTTCCACAAGATTAAGGTGTTATAAATCAATGGAGACATCGATTACAGGTTGGGTATGGCGATATGTGTGACAAATGCCATCATTCTGCTTTCTGTGTTTATCGAGGAACATGTGCCTCAAAATTTGGTTGTGGGGTTTTGTAGTAAATTTGACTAATTGAAGTTGTTGTCATCTGCTGGGATGAACTGGACTTCTCTTCTTGGTCATTTTCTTTTCCTTTCGTTCTATTTCTAGTCCACATAATAGTTTATGTGTATGAACCCATTGCTGTTGCTGACCGATGAATGTTGATGCTGCCAGGGGTAAAAAAGTAATTTTAATTGTTGGATTTTTCATGATTTCTATTGGTTGTTTTCGAGTACTGGTTTTAAGTTGAAATGATTTTGGTTATTTTTGATGATTCGAAAATGGTACCAAGAAAGCAAATCCTCTATTTGTTGACGTCAATGATAAATTCCAACCCCACCCTTGAAAGATTCCCCCCCCCCCAAATTGAAAAACAACCGAGCATCTGACGAAGCAATAATCAATGGTCTCTGGCTCGTTTCCGCAACAAGGACAAAGTCACGAGTGAAAAAAATCATTTATCATGAAACACCGACCTTACCTATCCTTCCCCATCTATGATGCCACATGAAGATACACACCTTCTTTAGGATTATAGCACACCAACGTGTTGGAACCATGTGCGATGGAATCTACAAAAAGAAATTCTCCACCAAGGTTTTAAGAGCGTTAATCGAGAAAGTACCATCCTCGCTAAGCCACCAAGTCTAAGTATTCTTCTCAAAAGGACTCGAGGGCTGACAAGCAATGCCCGAGACAGATTTAATAAAGCGTTAGTCGGCCCCCAAACGAGAGGCAGTAGGCCTTCCAACAAGAAGGTTTAGATTTGAACTTATCAATGATTTCGATATAGTTCTTGATTTTATTCATGTTTTTTTCCAACCAGAAAACCAAGGTAAGTAAGCGGTAAGGTTCCGAACCCACAACCCATTTCTAAAGCCATAAATGAAATTTCACTTTTCGTCATTCCTACTTCATAAAACTTACTTTTTCCGATGTTTATTTTAAGACCCAAGGCCGATTGATAACATTTCACAAGTCCCATAAAGTTTCTAAGATTATTTGAGTTTCATTTGGCAAAAAAATACAACATCATCCACGAGTTGAAGATGTGAGACACATATGTCATTCTTTTCCGACTAAAATGCCTTCAAAGACCCCATGATTTAACGCCTCATCCATGAGCACATTACTACCATATCCATTTGTTCCATGATGTCCTAAATGTAAACCCAATTGGTATAATCAAATGCTTTCTCAAAAGCCACTTTAAATATGGTAGACTGTTTTGCGCTCTTTTTCATTGAAGCAATTGTAGCATCTGCAACAAGAATGCCATCAAGAATGGATCTCCCTTCCAGAAAAGCATTTTGGGTTTCACCAATTAGATTTCCAATAACCTTCTTAGGTCTCTCTGCCGATGTTTTCGCGATTATTTTATATAAGCATCCAATCAGGCTTATCGACGTAAAATCACCAAAAATTATAGGGTCCGAAGTTTTTCGGATCAAAGCCAAAAAGGAAGCATTACATCCTTAACTAATCCATTCCTTTTCCCAAAATCGATCTATTAGCTCCATCACCTCACCCTTGATAACATGCCAAAAATTCTTGATGAATTTAAAGTTAGAGCCATTTGACTCATATCCTTTTGAAGGTTCACAATTTTTTTTATCGCATTCTACACTTCTGATTCCGAGAATTTTGATTCTAAAAAGTCAACCTCCTTCCTTTTCAATCGCTTGAATAGATCACTTTGAATCTTTTCTCTAAGGATCCCTTCTTTCTTATTTCTCCAAACTTTTAAGTCATCCTTCAACATCTTTAATTTGTTGTTGAACACTTTATCCAGCTCCAAGGAGAGAACCCTCCTAGACCAAGCATTTTTCACTACCTCCTTGAAATCTGAATCGTTCATCCCGAAAACTATAAATGGTTTGGGCCCAAAATCTCTCACAACAGACAGAGCCAATGTCGTTAGATTTCTCCAAGATGATCAAAACTCTTCATAGACAAGAAATCGATCAAGTTTGCTAAATTTCATACCATCCTTGCTTATTCTTGTTAATTGTCTCCCTCTTAGTGGAATGTCATGAAGATTTTCATTTCATAATGAAATTAAAATCTATCGAAGTTCGTTTATTCATGAGACTATTTGTTGATCTTCTCTCTCAGTGATTTAATGATAATCCCTTTTTCCTTTCGATGTATTTCTGTATCTGTTATTTCAGTTCCAGCGATCATACACTGAGCTTGTTCAGTGATCGCTGAAGAACT